TTTGTAGGATTCTGGTAGCTAAAGACAGCAAGAAAGGCGTACCTTCTGTTGGTTAGAAATTCTCTGTTTGGAACCAGACCCAGATCTGAATCTTAGCCTCAATGATTATTCCTGATAAGGCCTTGGGCAGGTTTTTACCTCTCTGAGCTGGTTTCCTCATCAGCAAATGAGCAATACTGCTACTCACTACCTCCCACAATGGTGGACAGGATGAGGCAGCAGACCTGGCCCATGGCAGGTGCTCAACAAGTGCCCTTCTGGAAAGGAGCAATTTCCTAGGAGTGTCCTATCAGGGTCACCAGGCCAGTCCCCACCTCCTCTTCCCTTTGCACTGACCCCCAGTTTGGGGGGGGTCAAGACCCAGTCCAAACCTCAAGACCCAGTTTGGACCAGATACCAAGTGAGTAACTGCCAGGGGCTGGGTCTTCCTTAGTAGGGATCCAAGTCTCATCTGCAGTCTCTCCTACCACCCCAGGGCCTTTGCACATGCTATACTCACTCCCTGGAGCACTCCTGCCCACCCTTTCCCTCTACCTGATTGCTTCCTAGTTGAATCTCAGCCTAAAGGCCTCTTACTCCAGGGAAAACATCCCTGCACCACACCATGGTGGGACCCCCCTGAGCCTTGCTCTCATAGCTCCTGAGCCTTTTTTCCTCAAATATTTTCACAGTCTGGAGTAACATCTATCCCTTCTTAGATCAAGAAACCATGCTGATCTTGTTCATTGTTGTGCCCTTGATATAAAGGAAATGCTCAATCCGTAATTGTCAGCAAAACCCAGAAATCTCAGTTCAAAACTGCTCAGTCCAACCCCTTCTGTTACACAAAAGAGACTCTGCGGCCCCAGGGAAGCCAGAGGCCTGCCCACCTGCACAGCCATTCTCTTGCCCCAAATCTGTCTCCTCCCAGGGCACCCACTGAGCTGCCCGGCCTCCTCGGTCCTTGAGTCCCCAGGGCTCCACCTGCTACCCCCCCCCCCCCATGGACGGTGAGCCAGCTCAGGGAGGAAGCACCCGGCCGAAGCACTTTTAATTTTAATTTAGGAATCGGTTAAGGCTGTAGGCCGGCTCAGCTCTGGGCTGTCAATCAGCCTTCCTCAAGGCTGCATCAATTAGTTTAAAAATATTGAATGTAATTTTGCCTGACACAACATATTGCAGCTACTGCAAAATATAATTTATTTTAGAAGAAGAAATAATTAAACTAATTTGCATGTCAGTCAGCTGAACTGAGAAGCCAAGGGGGGGAGGGACCCATGGGGGACACGGCCCCTGGAGAGGGCACCTGTCGCTGGGCATCAGGGAGGTCAGCTCGGGCCTGGGTCGGAGCAGCAGGAGGAGGGCCCCTGCTTTGTGTGTAGACCAAGATAAGTCTTAGAATGAGGGGGCCTATGACCCAACCCCAGTTCTGCTGGTGACTTGCCTGTGACTTTGAGCAAGTCCTGCCCCTCAGTTAGCCTCAGTTTCCTCATCTACAAAATGGGTTTAATCTTATCTCCTTTATGGGTTGTTTTGAGCATCAACTGAGGTCATAGATAAGAAAGTTTGCTATAAAATGGAAAGACCTGCACAGAGGTGCCAATTAATTAATTGATCGATTTCTTGTTTAATACCAGAAACATTTAAGGTGGTAAAATTAGGAATTATTATGATCAAGTGTTATAAATGATGCTAACTGTGACCAGGAGGGCTTTGGAGGAAGCCAATCAGATGTGAGACCTCAGGTTGGACGCGCCCCTCCACCTGCCAGTCACCCAGGCCTGTGGCTACACCTTAGATTCCTTTGGTGCCCCTTCGGCCATGTCGTCGTGAAGGCTTCCCAGGTAATTCTAAGGTGCAGCCCACCCAAGACCCACTGGCCTGTGCCCAGGGCACTGGATGCTGACTTAGGGCTGGCCCACTCCCTGGGGGTTTCAAGACAGCCCCCAACTCAGGGGCCCCTGGGATCAGATCTGCTGGCGGTAACTTTGGTGATGCGCAGACACACCTCTCTAGTGCTGACGCTGCTGCCCCCAGTCCCCGCCCCCACCCCCCCAACCTGAGCTGGCCTACTCCTGCCAAAGCACTTCCCAGGCCCATGACGTTTAGCAGACAAGGTAGGGCAGCAACGAAATTGGAATGATGTGAGATGGGGGTATGTCGACTCGCCTGACTGGGATGAACATTTCGAAATATCTCTGTGTAAGCCGCTAAACTCACACAACGTTCTGTGTCCATCATATTTCACTAAAGCTCCAGGTGGGGGTTGGGAGGGAGGGAGGGAAGTTGGGGTGGGCCGGCAAAATGCAAAGGAATGGGGCAATAGTGGGGGTCTCAGCATCCGTGCACCCAGTGCTCAGCAGGAGCTGTCCTGCCAGGTGGGACACACCCAGCCCACAGCCCAGCCCACAGCGCCCTGGCCTTCCCTCCAGCCCCTGCATGCCCCCTCTGCAGGGGAGGGTGCTCAGGAAGGGCACCCAGACCCTGCCTGCCCACCCCCCTCCCTCTGCTTCAGCGGGAAGAGAGGTGCCTGCTCCTGGCGGCAGGCCTCCCTCTCTCCTCCCCCCGAAAGCACCCACCATCTGTCTGTTTAAGTTCTCGGGCAACATGCTCTTAAAAATAACGGCTCACCCGGCATTCCCAGTCACGACTCCCATCGCTCGCCCCCGGAAAAGCCCCCTGTAATCGCTGAAGCGGCAGATCTGGGTGAGCTGAGATGATAAGGTGCCCCTGGCTATGGGGCGCTCCAGAGAGGGGTAGGGGTCGGAGTTAATTAAGGACTCACCTTCTCCCTCCTTTCCCTGACCCCTTAGGAGGTGGCCGCACCTGCCTCCCAATCTCCATGTCTTCCTTTATCTGCTCGCCAGCAGCTGCAGTCAGCATTTAGTGGGTCCCCGAGATCAGAGGAAGAGGCAGCCGACCAGTCCTACCCCCCAAAAAACTCAAAGGGTTCCTGGCTGCCTGGAAGCTTCTGGGATGTTCTGCAGGTAGCTCCCCACCAGCACGGTCCCGGGAGACCCAGCCTCTGCTGGGAAGGACGGCGATTCCCCTCCCAAGGGATATCCTTGAGGGCTCTGCAAGTGGGGCAGGTCAGTCATGGCTAAGGTAGCTGAGAGTGGGGCGCCAGTGAATGCTAGGAGGTGGGGGTTTAGAATGGGCCAACATTTGGGATGCTTCTTAGAAAGGATAGGCCAGGAAGAGGTACCCCAACATCCCGGAGTCACACATCATTGCTGAGAGGAGCCTTCAAGATGTCTGTTAATTTATTTATTTTTTAAGATTTATTTATTTATTTATTCAAGCACTGGGTACAGTCAGAAGCGCGGGAGGGTGAGAGAATTCACCAGAGCCAGAGTGGGGAGCAGAGCAGGCAGACTGACGAAACACACTGCTGAGGGGAGCAGCTGGTGGCAGGAGAGGTCTGCTGCACCATGTGGGACCCTCGCCGGCAGCCGGGGATCAAACCAGCACTGCAGAGGCTGTGCGCAGCTTCGCAGCCCAGCGCTCAACCACTGTGCCAGGGGAGGCCCAAGATGTCTGCTTTTTAATAGCACTTGCTATGTGTTTTCCACAGTTTGAAGTGCCTTATAGATGTTAACCAATCTGTCCTCTTAACCAATCTGCTACTAGTAGCCCCATGTTGCAGGTGAGAAAACTGAGGCCTCTGAGGAGAGGTCAACACATCTGGCATAGACTACACAGCTACTGAGTAGCAGAGTTGAGGCCAGAACCACTTGGTTCTGGAGGCCTTGCTCTTCATCACTACGCTCTGTTCATTTTTCAGATATGGAAACTGGTATCAGAGTGAGAAAAGTCTTACCCAAGGTCAAACACAAGTCAAGGACAGAGCCAAGCCTGGAATTCAAGCTTCTGTCCATCTGAATCTTTCCAGGCTCCATTCCTTCAGTCAACAAATGTATTGGAACCTACTTTGCCTTATCCCACAATGCTGGGGACCTTCCCTGTCCCACAATGCTGGGGACTCCAGGGATAAGTAAGGCAGATACCTGACCTCAGAAACATCACAATTAGGAGAGTGGGTACCTCATAGTTTTCTGAGAACCCTGGTCCCGACCCACCTCTGGTGGATTGTCCTGCCCTCCTAGCATCGGGTCTCAAAAAAACACAGGCTTTGGCGTTCAGTCGCCAGCTGACCAATTTAAACGTTTCCATGTTTTAGTTTCTCTGCTGCAGTATGGGATACAAATTGTACCAAACCACAGGATTTCTGCAAGCATACTTGAAATAATGCAAGTGGATGCCGCAGGCTCAATCTCTGCACTCTGTGGTGATGCAATATTGATGAGAATGTTGTTGGGGATGTGATGGGGCTAAGGGTGACTATGGGGGGGCCGTAATGGTACTGACGGTGGGGCTGGTCATGGCAGTTGTGGTAGAAATAGTGGTATCGGTGATGGTAACAGTGATTGCCTTAGAGTTTGTGGCGATGGTAGTAGAGATGATGGAGGTGGTCCTGGCGGACAGGGTGGTGGAGGTGGCAGTAATTCTGGCCCAGGAGAAGGTGGTTATGTCGCTGGAGGTTATGTTGGTGGCGGTGACACCGCTGATGTTAAGGGTGGTAATGGCTGAATGGTGGAAGTGCTGTGAGTAATGATGGTGTCGGTGAAGGCAGTAATGGTGGAGATGGTGGTGGCATTGGTGATGGCAGTGGACTGGCACTGGGGATTATGGCGGTTGAGGTTCTGGTGATGATGCCAATGGTGTAATGTCGATGCCAATGGTGTAATACCAGTGCCAATGGTGGTGATGGCAATAGTGACAGTAACAGAGACGGTTACAGTGACAATCCGATGGTGGTAGTGATAGCAATGGTGGTGAGGATGGTTATGGTGAAGATGACCCACTCATGCCAGGCATCCTCTGTCCTGGTCTTAGTATCAGTTTCATGAACCCACAGATCTCTCAGTATGACCCCCCTGAGTGATCTTATCCTGGCAGCAGATCTTATCCTAGATCTCACCCTTGATAGCCCTCACCCGACTCCTGTGCTCCTGTTACAGACAATCATGCCCAGCTCTCCCGGGCCTCCCTAAGGATCCGAATCCTGGATGTGAATGACAATCCCCCGGAGCTGGCTACCCCCTACGAGGCAGCTGTATGTGAGGATGCCAAGCCAGGCCAGGTACCACTGAGGGGCTGGGGGCTGGGGTGGCAGCCAGGACTGGCCAGGGGCACCCTCCACCTAGGCCCAGAGGGGGTCAGCCTCACCATCAGCTCCCTGCTCACCCTTCAGCTCATCCAGACCATCAGCGTGGTGGACAGAGACGAGCCCCAAGGCGGGCACCGCTTCTATTTCCGCCTGGTGCCTGAAGCTCCCAGCAACCCTCATTTCTCTCTACTTGACATCCAAGGTGAGCTTCTTCTGAACCCCAAATCCTAGGATGCATGGAGGGAGGGGCCTAGCCTCCCTTGCTCCCTTCCCATATTATGGATGAGAGACTGAGGTACACAGAGAGCCAGGGTTAGATCCGAGATCAAACATTCTGGGCCAAGCTGGAGCTGTCACCCAGCCATGGGCTGGGGAGGGTGGGTTGGGAGAGGGTAGCCAGCTAGGCAACCCAAGGATGGAGAACAGCAAATGGAAAGATACAGAGAGGAGGAATGTGGGGGACACACTCTTAGGTAGAAAGCACCCCTGGTTCCAGTCTGTGTACACACTCCTGCCCTTCAGGTTAAAGAGAGCATTAGCCCACTCACATTCCCTTTTGCATCCTCATGGCCACCATGGAGGTAGGTTTCTCCCCGCTCCCCACCATTTTGCAGGTGATAAAACAGGTCACTGCCACCTGCCAAATGAACAAAAGGATAAGGGATCTGCCTGGGGTCATGTAGGGAGTCAGGCCTGTACCTCACTAGGCCTCAGTTTCCTCACCTGTAAAATGGGGCTATAATGCCTGCCACCACCGAAAGCCAGGTGGCCCAACGAGGTGGGCTGCTAAGGTAGACTGTTAGCACCTCGAGTGCATCATTTTCTTCAGTCAGTGACTATTTCTTGAGCATTTTTGAAACACAGTGCCTATGTGTCAGGCACTGTCCTGTAAATACAGTGGCAAACAGGACAAAAGTCCCTGCCCTCAGGGAGTTCACATTCTAGTGAGGGGAGACAGAAATGAAACAAACAGTTGAGGATGATAACTGGTGGGGTAAATAATGCAGTCTCCATAAGTCTGGACTTTATTTTGCTCAGTGATGGACACATAGTAAGTGTACCTAAGCAGTGCCTGGCACATAGTAGCTGTTCAATAAAATGTGTTAAATGAAACCATGAAAAATAAAGTAGGGTAAGAATAGAATTTGTTTAAATGAAGTGGTCTGGGAAGGCCTCTGCAAAGGAACCAACAGTGAATAGGGGTATAAAGAAAATGAGGGGTGAGCCCTATCCAAGTGGCAGAAACAGGAGGGACAAAGGCCCTGCCTGGGGAGCAGGCTGAGGAGTCCTGCTCCTTCTGACCCCCTCAGGGGGTCTCTGAAGCCAGGCCATCCATCTCTCCAGGAGCCATTTAAAAATATTTACCAACAGGTACAGTTCCGATAACCAGTCAGGACACTGAGGACACCCCCCGAGGGTCTGCTTGCCGGCTTTCACCCCTTAGTGTC